TTCGAATTTTTGGCAAAAATACAGAAAAGTTCATAGACAGGTACTATTTAAGTCATCTCTACAAACCCTCACAGTAATAGTTTTCAGGTGTACTTACATTTGTTTTTTTTTCGAATAAATAATTAAGTCACACATATTAGTTTTTACATATCATCAAACTTATTATCCAGAGATCGGGAGTTAAACGCAATGGAAAAACTTGCAACTAGAGGTCTCGCAGCGCCTGTTTACGCGCGATTTTCTAATGGAATTTTATGTGGTTTTCTTCCGGGTACGACTGTCAATGTTCGACAGTTAAAAGACCTAGATATACAGAGGTAAGGAAGGAAAACTTAGTTTGCTTTTATCCAAACGACTTGTATTTTAGGAGAATATGTAAGACGATGGCTGCTTTTCACAGTCTGAATTCGACCAAAATAGAGACTAACAGTATGTACCTTTTCCGAAAGACGAAGGATTTTATCAAGAATATTGACATGAGCAGAGCTAAGGTACGTGGCATCTTCGCAGTTACTAAAATTCATTACTAAAACCATTAGACTCCCTTAAGAAATCCTGATCACTTTCCTTGTTTCCGCTATGGTTAACCAATAAAAATTTCTCACTATACATCTCAAATATAATTCACGTATAGCCTAGCAATTACTATTTACGAGTACGCTTGGGCAAGAATTTTTTCTACAAATAAATTCCTTTCCAATGAACAAATTCCAGTCTTACTAAATTTCAGGATATTCCCTGCTTCGCTAACCAGTTATCTGCTGACCTGAAAGAAATGCGAGATCTCGTTATCCCTCTCAACGAAGAAATCACATTTTGCCATAATGATTTGCTAGTTCACAATATAATCCTAGAGGAGTCATCAGGTGATTCAAAACATTGCAAAAGCAAATCATATCTTATGGTTTAAGTTATAAACAGTCCTAAGTGCAGACTCGGAGAGGATAAAAAATCTCTGTGAAAGCTATAAAATTTTACTGATGAAGATATATCTAATGTTTACACTTTTAGTTCTACAACTTTTTTTCATAATTGTGTGCACTGATTAAGACGTCTCATAATTCGCTGTATTCTATCAATTTTATGACAAGCATAGATGTTCAGCTATCATTTCTCGATCAAAAAAGTCTTGAATATATGAAACCAGTGTTTCACTTTTCTTTTAAAGAGG